ACATAGTTTCTTATTGGAAACCAAATGTAAATGAGGATGATGATGCTGTTGAGTATGAAAAGAACACTATCTATACTAACTATCTTCAGACATCATTAGTGGTAACATGGCAATATCATAAAAAAATGATGTGCAAAATGATTATAATACGGTATGTGTTATTGTAAATATAATATGTTTTATATACTTTCATTATTAATTTTCATTTATAGGTAAGTGTCTTGCTTAGCAATATTTGTTCAATGCCTGGTGTGCATATTAAGCCCCCTCACCCTCTTTTTTTATTGTGGTTGATAAGATTATGAAAAGATTTATAATTCTTTCATTGATTATTTTTATGTATCATATCCTACTTTAGGTAGTCGGGTAGTTACCGATTTCTATCAACCAGGGTTGACTTGGTTGCAACATGCTATGGGAAACCAAATTACATTTACAATTGGCTTTGAGCCAATCACCTGGCTTTTGATATACTGTTTCAACTTAAAAATCTTTTGCATACCAAAGTGTTAGTGTAAAGTAGTTTAAATCAATCAGTATAGAAATCAGTTTTTTTGATTATTATTATTATTATACATCATATCTTTTCTTTTTCAGAACAAGACAACAAATTTATTTGGTTCTAATAAAATTTCTTTTTTAATGTGTTTTGCATCAGAAGTTATGTTGTTTTAATTTATTTTTAACCTAAAACAAAAACCTTTTTTTCCCGTAACTTTTAATGTTTTTTTTTCAGTTATTATTTTAAATATCTGATGTATTTTATCTATCATTGCTAGGTTTTACTCACAGGATGAAAACTAAAAAACAGACTATTGCTTCTATGGATCTATAATAACTCAAGAAAGAGGTTAATTTATACTTAGAGATTAAATTATGCAGTAATAAAATATTTATAACATATTAAATATTTATTTATTTGTCAGGGCATATGTTTTCTCTATCAATAATGATTGTGCTATGGTGATCTATATATTTATTTAAAAAGCTAATATTTTGTTTAAGATATTGACGAAGGATTGACTTATTCTATCTTTTGATGTCAATGTCAGATTTGCTTCAAAATAGACTATTTTTATAGTCGCAATTCTGTTAAAAACAATAATAAGCATATGGAAAACAATTTATTTAATTTAAATTTTATATTAAGAAGTATATTTTAAAACAAATAAATCTTTCATTTATTGGGGTGGGTGTATTATTCGATGTTAATCAAGGCGATATACAAAAGATATTCTGAAGTGCTTTTTCTAAATACATGTCTACATGTTCTAAATACATCTCTTTAAATACTAACTAACATGAAATGTTATTGCTAATTGTGAAAGTAATTCAACAATTTTTGTTATAGTATTTAAAATCTATCATGAATAAAGTCGAAACATTATGTAGCTTGAGTGACAATAGTACGTTAGGAAACACAGGCCTTATTTTTATAAAAGCTGTTGCACAAATTATTAAACCAAACTATTAAACAAATTAAATCCTTTTCCGGATTTTTTCTCAAGTCATATTTTTTGCTAGCAAAGTATAGATATAATTAAAAAAGTTATTTTTTTCTTTCAGATCACTGTTTACCTTTTAGAAGGCTATGTACATATATAACAACGCAACAAATAAACTACGCATTTTAATATATAAGCCTATATATGTAATATATAAGCTTATATATGTAATTATACACTTATATATGTAGTATATAAGCTTATATATGTAATATATAAGCTTATATATGTATTTATAAGCTTATATATGTAATTATAAGCTTATATATGTAATTATAAGCTTATAAATGTAATTATAAACTTATATATGTAATTATAAGCTTATATATGTAATTATAAGCTTATATATGTAATTATAAGCTTATATATGTAATTAGAAAGCTTATATATGTAATTATAAGCTTATATATGTAATATATAAGCTTATATATGTAATTATAAGATTATATATGTAATTATAGGCTTATATATGTAATTAAAGCTTATACATGCAATTATAAGCTTATAAATGTAATTATAAGCCTATATATGTAGTTATAAGCTTATATATGTAATTATAAGCTTATATATGTAATTATAAGCTTATAAATGTAATTATAAACTTATATATGTAATTATAAGCTTATATATGTAATTATAAGCTTATATATGTAATTATAAGCTTATATATGTAATTAGAAAGCTTATATATGTAATTATAAGCTTATATATGTAATTAGAAAGCTTATATATGTAATTATAAGCTTATATATGTAGTTATAAGCTTATATATGTAATTAGAAAGCTTATATATGTAATTATAAGCTTATATAAGTAATTAGAAAGCATATATATGTAATTATAAGCTTATATATGTAATATATAAGCTTATATATGTAATTATAAGATTATATATGTAATTATAGGCTTATATATGTAATTATAACCCTAACCCTAACCCTGTGGCAGTCTTCCTGACTGGATACTCTGAGAATAGTCCTTTTGGGATAACACAATGGGATACCTTTAAAAAAATACCCTGGTGTAGACCCAGAGTGGAACTTCTTTTGGGATACCAGTTTCGGATGAAAGCTGGAGGTCTTTATGCGTTTACACTGCACCATAGGGCACGAATTCATACTGTACTTTGGACGTTTATGACACTTACATCTATAATGAATGTTTATCACCCTAAGAATACAAACCACACGATGACTACTTATAAAACGAATAATTCTACTCCATTACCAATTCTATCTACAAATCACACTTACGCTGGTCTCCAACAACAATTTAGTAGCACTACAACTAATGACTTTCCTTGACTGTTGTTTATTATTCTTATTTACTGTTTACTACACTTTACACATATTAGTTTTTAATACTTTTCCACTTTGAGGCTCTTTGTTTTCCTCTGGACATCTGTCCTTTTGTACTTTTATCTCACTCTGCTAAACTCTTTTTAACTTATTATTCATCCCTAAGGCGTACACTGCTCGGTGCAGCTTCACTAAAATGCATTGCATTTACAAAAAGTATTTATGTCCGCGTGGACTGCGGAGCAACGACTATCTTCCTGACAACCACATGTAACAGAGGTAAATTTATTTACCTAACAATATTTACAAAGAAGAGTACTTACAACAGCAACAAACATATGCTTATGCACATACACCTCACATCCTGAATTAAAACTTTACTCTCCTCTTTTTAAATTTTATTTTGGTTTTCTTCTATAATTATTCCTTATATCATAGTATTCTTATTATTAATTTGTTACTGCAAATGACTCAAAATCAGCCATGCTATACGTACATTGTGTTTAACTGACTAAAAATCACCTGCTAACTGTTTTGAAAACGAATAATTTCACTCGACCTGAGATACTCCTGACCACATTACAGTCACGTGACATGCACAGTTAAACTTGTCACTTATAAAATATACAAATTACTCTTATGTAACACGTACAATAAACTATTAGACTACATGACTTCTATATATAATTTTAGATTATGAGTTGTTAAATATATTTACAGATTAGTAGTTGCAATACACATACACTAGTCATTGGTGCTCTACTGATATAGCTCTGGTTTACATTTCTAATTTATCAACATCTAATAGTTTGTTATTTATTTATGCTATTCTTTATCGATACACGTTTATTAGACTTATAGTACTCACATCTACCTTTTGTAACACCAACTAAAAAGACTTTCAACTATTTTCACACTGATAACTCTCACTATCAAGACATGCTACAAAAGTAATCAAACACACGTACACGGCATTATCTGCTAACATTACACACACAGTTATAAGAACTCAAAACAGCTCACAACTGTCATTGACTCTGACAAACCACTGCACCCAATAGACACTCATGTCAAAAAACTACTTACTACTGTTTCCAAGTTGTACTGAACCCCACTAAGAGTCCTCTGGTCCCAGTGTCAATTCAGGAGTCTGTGGCAGTCTTCCTGACTGGATACTCTGAGAATAGTCCTTTTGGGATAACACAATGGGATACCTTTAAAAAGATACCCTGGTGTAGACCCAGAGTGGAACTTCTTTTGGGATACCAGTTTCGGATGAAAGCTGGAGGTCTTTATGCGTTCACACTGCACCATAGGGCTCGAATCCATACTGTACACGAGACGTTCATGACACTTACATCTATAATGAATGTTTATCACCCTAAGAAAACAACCACATGGTGACTACTTATAAAACGAATAATTCTACTCCATTATCAATTCTATCTACAAATCACATTTGCGCTCGACTACAAATCACATTTACGCTAGACACAATTTAGTAGCACAACAATTAATGACTTGATTTTTGTTTCAGGGCTATACATCAACTTTACACGTAATACTAACGACAGTTGAGTGACACAATAAATAATGGTTACCACTTATCTTCGCTATTTGACCACCACAATTGACCACGAGTGTTTCAAAATATGTTCTTATAATGTATTGTCTCAAAAACACATTTATATGGTACTGTTCTTATATTTAACCTCGTGTTATCATGATTCAATTATATATTCCTCATAATAATGTATTCTGTTTCTATTCACATAACCCTGATTTATTCTTATTTAATCTAGAAGACTTACTATGCTTTATTTAATTATACTATGTCTGTCACCACATACAAACACTCATAAAAAATAGCACCTAATAAATATCTTTTCATAATACACTCATTTCTTTATTATGCCCATCCCCCCATCAGTAGTAGGAAAATGAGAGTTCATAGAACATTTTTATTTTCAACCAAATTTTCAACCATAAATTAATATTAATTAATATAATAATAATTATATAATAATAATTAATATAAGGTTAACATTGAACCATGTCGTGTATAAATTATTTCAACAAGAAATAATTTTTTATTTTAAAAAAAATTGATTTTTTAAAATAAGTGTTAATTTTTATTTCTTGTTATGAAATATTACGAAAAATTCTTAAAATGACGTCACGTGATTTTTCTTGCTTCTTATTTATATCCTTTAGAACGTAAATATTTTATTACTTCAAGGTCACCATATTCTGCAGCATAATCAATTGCCCATTTGTCACATTTATACCCAAATTCATATAAATATTTTATTACTTCAAGGCGACCATATTGTGCAGCATGAATAATCGCAAATTCATCACCTTTATACCCTAATTCATGTAAATATTTTACTACTTCAAGATGACCATTCATTGCAGCAGAATTAAATGCACATTTAACACATTTATACCCTAATTCATGTAAATATTTAATTACTTCAAGGTAACCCCTAATTGCAGCATTAATAATTGCTTGATCTGTTCCTTTATACCCTAATTCATGTAAATATTTAATAATTTCAAGGTCATCATTTACTGCAGCATAATTAATTGCACATTCAGAACCTTTATACCCTAATTCATGTAAATATTTTAATATTTCAAGGTGACCATTTGCTGCAGCATAATTAATTGCCCATTCTGTTCCTTTATATCCTCTAGAATGTAAATATTTTATTACTTCAAGGCGACCATTTTGAGCAGCATAATCAATTTTTGTACGTTTATTTTCTTGATTCATTCTTTTTATATACACAAGAAAATTATTTAAATCATTTTCAAAATTTTTTTATTTTTTTAATGCGCATGCGCTGGATTTGCTTACGCGTAGTAGCGCTTATGCGTAGTAGAATTGTCTTAACAATATTATATAGGATCTCTTATAGCATATAATTCTAGTTCTGTTGCTACAAATGGAAGAGTACTATTTTGTATATAATTATCAAATATAGGCATAGCAGGTTGTCCATTATATACATAGCTCATATTTTGACATACAGGTGCCCAATAACCACCACTTGTATCTAGTGTAAGTACTGCTCCAGAATTCATCATGCTTTTTGTAGTTGTCAAATTTAAACCGCAAAATCCTTGTCCTAATTCTGTACATCCAAATGGTGTATCTGTTGATATGAGTTGTGCAACATTTTGGTAAGCCATAGACATCATTGGAAGGAATGCTTGTTTAAATATAATACTATTCCATACACCATTAATTTTATATTTAAGTCTATATTTATAATAGCCATCTTTGTTTTTATACTGCCAATTAGTAAATAATGTACTATATACTTGAGCAGTAGTTGGAGTAGAATTAAATACTCTATAGGCACTATAATAATTGTTAAGAAATAAATATCCAGCAACTTGTCTAACTAATAATACTTCTCCAGAATTATATGGTGTTCCATAGCCACCACCATATATATTATTCATTGAAATTGGTATTGCTTCAAAAAATTTGTTTGCTAAAAATATTTGTTGTCTTGAATCACAATGTACTCCATCGAAATTTGCACTCCTAAGACTGGGAGGCATACCATTTAGAGATATACTAGCTGTATATGGAGAAAAATTTATAATATTTTTTAATGCATCTTGAACTTGAGTTGCTGTAGTTGAGTTTGCTTGAACCCATGAAGATAGCATTTGAAATGTAATGAATAGCATTTTATTTGCTTTTATTTGTGAGATTGGCAATGTATCAAATTGGCTTGATGAGTATGCAATATAATCTCTAATGGTTTGTATAAAATTCATTAGAATATATGCATAGTTATCACACCAACCGGTTTTAGAATCATCTTCTCCTTGACTCCAAGTCATACAGCAAAACTCTGCGTTATAATGTGATGAAATGTAATTGATTTTACGAGTTAAATTTTTAAAACCAGTTCCATACGGCATAAAATAATCATTACTGAAACTTTTAGCAGTTAGCATGCATGGAAGTATCATTAAACATTCATCAGGATTTATCATATTTAATGTATTCGCACCTTCAGCATCTTGCATTATAAGCCCAGCAAGTATTGAACCATATCCTGCCCAACAATTATTATCTGTTTCATTTACATCTAGTCTCAATGAACAAGGAAGTAACACATCATTTTGTCCATTACCCATCGCAAATTGGACTATTCGTCTGTTCATATAATTTACATTAGTTATTGATTGAGATAAACCCCATTCTCTACCAGCATATGTATTTGATTGACCAGCTATAATCAAAACTTTATATTTATGTTGATAAGGAATTAAGCGATCTACATAATTCTTTGTAGCTGTATCTTGTGCATTAGTAGGATCAGCTACATTAATCAATTTATGTGAATTCAAATTTATATTAGCACTCATACTATTAGTTCCATCTAGTCTTAGACATGCACTGCTAGAAATCTGATTATTATCTACATAATGCTTTGTAGCTGCATCTTGTGCATTAGTAGGATTGGCTACATTAATCAATTTATTTGAATTCAAATTAATATTTGCATTCATACTATTAGTTCCATCTAATTTTAGACATGCACTGCTAGAAGTTTGATTATTATCAACATAATTTTTTGTAGTTGCATCTTGTGCATCTGTAGGATCAGCTACATTGATTAATTTATGTGAATTCAAATCAACATCAGTAGTGGCTGTATTTCCAACATTAATGTTGATATTTAATCCATCTGTTGTGTAACCATACAATGAATTACTACCGGCTATATTCATACTCATTTTAAATATGTTATATTTTTTTAATTCAATATAATGAATTTTCAATACTTTGAAAATCAACACCTTCATCAAGCTTTTTTAATACATAAAGGCACAAGTGTCCGCAAAAAGAAGTGTCTCCAAACTGAATTCTTTTACTATTATAATAAACAGGACTGTGTAAATATTGAACAAGTTCAACTGGAGGTGGTAGTGCATAAGAGTCAAAACTTAATTTTTCTTCTCCATCTTTATACCAACAAATCCAATGAAATCCATTCGTACTTGAATCTCCAGTATTTAATATTCCACATTCTTTGTTTTGTGTATTTTTAGGTAATTCATCTCTTACAAATACACCTCTAAAATTTTTAATTTTTAATTTTTTTGCTGCTTTTATTAATTGAAAGTTTGTTAAGGGTACATTTGGCAATATAATTCCTTCAACATTGATATGTTTGTCCATTTTTATTAATAGTTTTAGATTTTTTTAGATCTTTTTAAGATATAAAAAATAACTTACCTGTGTGTTTGCCTGCTTGCCTGTTTATTTCCAATCAATCTGAAATGAAAAGTTGGGTTTGGGTTCCGAAGGAACCAATGTTTTATTCTCTTTTAATTTATAATGTCCATATGCTAATGTGTGAATACCATCTTCTTGAATTACTCTTTTATCATCTTCTGCACTCAATGCTATTTTGTTTATTTCTTCAGTATAAACATCATGTAAATGTGATCTTATGACATTCATTTTTCTCATTTGATCTCTCCTGCTAAGCAGGCAGTCTTTATAATCTTCATGTGTAATATAATTTTTTACTACATTTCTCTTTACTCCTTTACATCTCTTTTTATCTTCTTCATCTATTTTGTAAGAATACAACTTTGATCTGAGTCCAATAAATTCTGTAATTTGTTTTCCTGCTGACTCATCTTTAAACATTCCTATTACTTTCTTATTTACACCAACTTTAAATCCATTTTGAACAGCTGGATGATCTTTATTAAATTCACTTGTATCAAATTTACTTTCAATATCATTAGAAATATCTTTATAAAAATCTTCTGTTTTTATTTCATAGATTAATGAATCTGTATCTGTATATAATAGTTTAGCTTTATCTCCATATTTATTTTTTATGTAATCATAATGAAATTCGTACATTAGTGTTTTGCTCAAATCTAAAATACACATACCCAAGTAAATGGGTTTGTTATAAACTAGTTTTGTTCTTTTCATATGTATTGCAATTAAATTTTCATCAAATATCGTTCTACTTTCATAATTTGGTTTTGATGATAATTTAATAGCTTCTTCTCTTTTAGAAACTAATCTTACATCAACTCTGTTTTCAATGTTCTCCATTGTCTTTCCAAATACTGAATTGTTCATAAGTTTAAAAAAGTCTTTTTCAAAGTCATTTGTTGCTTTTGTTCTTAGATTTGTATTGAGTTCAATGTATTTACTCAACCATGCACTTTCTTCAAACTTTATTCCTCTGTGAATTTTTGTTATTTTCATTCCTAGTCTTTCATATAGTTTTAAGTTTTCATAGTGAATGATATAATTTTTCTTATGATTTAAATTAGGTATTAATTTATCAACTTTGTCTATTTTTAATCTTTCAGGGGCTAGAGGATAATCATTATGAACATCATGTAAATGTTCAGGATATTCTAAATCTACATCTAATATGCAAGAAGTAGATTTCCAATTTTTTAATTCTTCTTCATTCATCCATTCAAATCCATGTGTTGGAAGGGGTTTGCTCATAGCCCACCCATATAAATTATTTGCATCTAGATACTGTATGTAAGTAGATTCTTTACTTTCATCATAATTTTCCATATATTTATTGTTAGCAGTTCCTAACCTGTTGGAAACCATACTAATTCCACCTCTTATTCCTTCTTTTATCATTAAGATCATATCATAATCACTTAATAATTCTAATTTTACTTCTGTTATTTTCAACGCAGCATCCCAAGCTAATCCTGGTGCTGTATAGTACCAAGCAGGATCTAATTTGTAATTGTTAAAACAGACATCTCTAAAATTTTCAAAGACATCAGCTAGTAGTAATACATCAGATTCGTTATATAAATTATGGTAATCTCTGAATGTTTCACATTGAAACTCTTTCCATACATTTTGAGCATGTAAATAATCTTCATCACTTATTCCTTCATCATTTAATCTTGAATAAAATGATTCTTTTGGTGGTAATTGTGTTTCATTTAATTTATCAATAGAGTCAACCCATTCATAAGGATAAACACCTTTTCTTAACAATAAATTGAGTTCATTTCCAGAATAGTATCTACTAATATTTTTACATTGATCTTTTGACAAATTTTTAGTTAAACTATCTAAACTAGCAGCCATAAATTTAAAACTATCTAGAAAACGTAGATACAGTTTAACTTCAACTTTTTTACCTTCTCTATTCATAAATTCATTTACTTTAAGTTCTTTAGAAAAGCTGATATATTTTTCTTCATTGTTGGGTATACAATTTATTTTTCCTCCTTCTGACAATTTTTTTATGAACAAGTGAGAGTCATAACCAGATAAATTGTGAAATAGTACTGGAATGAATTTTGGAATTTTAAATTGTAAATTACACTCATTATGTGCAGCACCTCTATATTTTCCAGTAATATGACAATGATCTCGTACTTTATCATTATTAAGATCTTTTTCACAAATGTGGCATTTTTCTGCATTATCAAAATTATTTTTGTCTTTCATAGTAAATATCATATTTTTTTTAAATTTTAAATAATCGTTGTAAATCTTTTTTACATCTACTTCTAGCATATTAACAAATTTTTGTGCTACATCTTCATCTTCATTACTTGCAGTGAATGTAACTAGTTTACTTTGATATATTTTTTCATCAAAGCATTTAATATAGTAACAAAATGAACTAGGTGTATGCTTTTGGTACTGCTTTGTATAAGATTCATTTGGATTAGGTGTACAAGTGTTGATTGGTTTAATAAAACTTTCAAAGTCTGCATAGACTACAA